CTGAAACGCCTTTGGAGACGGCTTATGGTAGAGAAATGAACATTCAATTCACGGGCAACAGCTCTGGTGGACATTCCTGCAGTCAGTATGCCAATTGCACGCTCCCTCAAAACTTGCGACATCTGTGGCATTTTGCTGTGTGATAAAACTGCACATTTTAGAGTGGCCTTTTATTGTGGCCAGCCTAAGGCACACCTGTGCAATAATCATGCTGTCTAATCAGCATCTTGATATGCCACACCTGTGAGGTGGATGGATTATCTCGGCAAAGGAGAAGTGCTCACTAACACAGATTTAGACAGATTTATGAACAATATTTGAGAGAAATAGACCTTTTGTGTACATAGAAAAAATCTTAGATCTTTGAGTTCAGCTCATGAAAAATGGGGGCAAAAACAAAAGTGTTGCGTTTATAATTTTGTTCAGTGTATATACTAATTTGATCTATTCTATTCACATTAAATTTATAGCTGAGAACATTGTTTCCAGAGCACTCAAAGATAAACTTTATACATTCATACCCAATAAATACAAGCAATTTAAAGCCAATTCTAATTATCGCAGGAAAGCAGTCCAGAAGGCTTTCTTGCATGCAATTAAATGAAAATCAATGGCTGGATACCTCTATCACACATGCTGTGTGACAGTTAGACACATAGTTATTATGATCCAAAAGCCTGGCATGTTAGCGTTGATAAATACAAATACAAGCAGTGGTGGTAAGTTAGCTCTGGCATAGCGGCCAGAAGTTCTTTGTGAGCAGATGGAGGAAGCCGATCTCCAACGCAGTGCTCTGAGGCGATGATAGAGTTTATCTACAGGTGTTTATACACAGGTATGTCCACCAGGCTTTAACACACACACACAAACTCAAATAAACTCCTGCTATCCTCTCCAGAGAGTTTATTTCGCTCGAGCATTGGCTTTTAGACAGCAGTGTTATGAGTATCCTCTGTATCCAGAAAGAGCTCATATTTAATTTAGAAGGGTTCATATGGCTAGGTCTGGCGGAGACTAGTGTTCAGACGGCTGGAAGTGAGAACCATCTGGCCAGCAGAGAGCCCTCATCTGCTGCCCAAATCTGACTCTGTTTACTGGGTAGACAGGAGTGACAGCACTGCCAACTGGCCGAGCACAAAGGATAGAATGACTTTGTTAGTGAAAAAGCTAATAGTTAGCTTTTTTACCGCCAAGTTAGCAGGTGTAGAAGTGCTGCAAAATGCGTAATAAAAAATAACTTTTTTTCAGGAAGGGTAGAGATGAATTTATTAAAGGGGTCATATGATGCGATTTCAATTTTTCGTTTCTCTTTGGAGTGTTACATGCTCTTGGTGCATAAAGAAGATCTGTAACGTTGCAAAGACTAAAGTCTCAAATC